AAWTTTTWMYTTTKTTTTWAAATATGTGTAAGCAATATCAATATTTTGCATATAAGCCTGTAACTTAACGTATTGTAAAATATCTATATTTGACTCACAAATTTCTAATAGCCTTCAAATTTGTCCGGCCAACGAGTTTCACTCATCACCCARTAAAAATGTAATTATAAGTTTGGTCAAATATTACAATCATGTCAAAAGAATAAGTTAATGAATCAATACTTATCACTTGATTAGTCAACTTCTACCATGCGACTCGAAAATTTGACATCTAAGAACTTAAATAATATTTTGATGAATTAAACTTTATATTTAAACTAACCGTATAAAAAGTGATGAAGATATTTTTTTTTTCAAAGGAACTAATTAAGATATTTATACTTTCTTAGAGAGATGGCTATAATTTTTTTAAGTGAGGCGATGGGATGAAATAAATACAAATGCAAAGAGAATTGCCATTTGGACACGATAAATCGTGTTTACGAGACGCGACTATGAGGTTGGAAAACAATAAAATAACTGACCTATGTCGCGTAGGGCAAAGGGCATAAATAAGTGGAATTGAAATTTTGGATTTTAAAAGTTAAAACCACAATTGAATGAGGAGAGGATTTTCCAGAGTCAAGGGGGAACAGTTGATCGCTACATTTCTTAGCTCTTCTCTTACTTCTCTGCATCCCCCGCCGCCTCTCTCCGCCACCGCCTATCCCTACTTTGGGATTCAGTTCTTCCTCAATTTCCCGCTTTTTCGCTGTTTTTCTTCGTCATCTACGTCGTCCGAGCCTCTGATTTCTTCATTTCTGCCGTATTCTCCGCCAGCAATGCCAGGGGCCGGTTCTCAAGACGTGGAATGGCCGGCCACCCGCGTGAGGGACACATTTTTTCGATTTTTTGAGGAGAAGAATCATGTTCATTGGAAGTCTAGTCCTGTTGTGCCGGTTAACGACCCGACCCTTCTCTTTGCTAATGCTGGTTTGTCTCTCTTTCTCATTTTCTTACTTTTTTAGTTGCTTAATGTCTGGTTCTGGGTGGAGGGAGTGGAAGAATGGGTTATTGGGTCGTTCAATTTGATGGGCTACACGAAGATTCTTCATTGCTTGAGATGTTGGATGTTTGTTGCAGGTATGAATCAGTTCAAGCCCATTTTTTTGGGCACAGCTGATCCTAATACGTCTTTGAGCAAGCTTACCCGAGCTTGCAACACCCAGAAATGCATTCGTGCTGGTGGGAAACACAATGATCTCGATGATGTTGGAAAAGACACTTATCACCATACTTTCTTTGAGATGCTTGGCAATTGGTCGTTCGGTGATTACTTTAAGAAGGAAGCCATCGAATGGGCCTGGGAGCTCCTTACCCAGGTTAGTTGACTCTTACAAACGCTGAAGCATTTCTACTTTTTTTGTCTGTCACGAGCTTTTATTGCGTATCCTGATTGTGTCACGAGTCGAGTTGGATATGGGTTGGTTCTTTTGAGCATTCTGTCTGAAATCGAGTAGCATTAAGAGTGATTACAGTAGCATCATAGCGTATCCTGATTGTGTCATAAGTCGAATTCGATATGGGTTGGTTCTTTTGAGAATTCTGTCTGAAATCGAGTAGCGTTAAGAGTGATTACAGTAGCATCATGGTCTATGACTCGTAATCTACAGTTCTTGTCTCGCCTTCTTACATACACTAATCAGTTTATATTTATATATTTATTTTGCTATTTTTCAGCTTGTGAATAATTCTTCTACTTGTTACACGTGCTACTGCAATGTCAAACCATTTTATTTGTCTTGTATGGCACAGTACAACCAGTCGTGTTGTTTGTAACTAATGTTCTTTGGATAAGAAATGCTTGTTGAGTATTAAGGGTATACATAAGAAAGAAAGGGGCACTKATTTCCAATTAGACCTCATGGAATGGGAGATTTTGAAAAGCTCCTCGATCATCTGTAATCAAAATATTGAGGAAAATCCATTGCTCTTTGGTTATGGCAGGCCTTAGTTTATATCAGTCGTTGCTTGGTTTTTCTCATAGTAGTTACAGTTATGTGTTTTATGAACCTACAGGTTTATAAACTGCCCACAGATCGATTTTATGCCACCTACTTCGGTGGTGATGAGAAAGCTGGTCTTGCACCTGATAATGAAGCCAGAGATATATGGCTGAAGTTTTTACCAGCTGAACGTGTCTTACCTTTTGGCTGCAAAGTAAGATTATATGACAACTTCAGTTTTTTTCTCGTACAACCCACAAGTGTCTTGTTGTCTTTCTGAAACATGATGATGGTATAAAAAATATGTTGAACTCCCCATTTATTTATGCTGCAGGTGCTTTAATTATCTTATTTTTCGTGTGTGTATTTCATGTTAGCTCTTCAAATTTTTTTATAATTTTATGTTTTAAATTTTGAGCAGGACAATTTCTGGGAGATGGGTGATACTGGTCCTTGTGGACCTTGCACTGAGATACATTATGATAGGATTGGTGGTCGAGATGCTGCACGATTGGTTAATAATGATGACCCCACATGCATTGAGATATGGAACCTTGTTTTTATTCAAGTAGTCTTCTTGTCCCTCCCCCTCCTCTGTTTCAGTGTTTCTGACTCTTCAACTTATATCTGGCTATATGATTCTTGATCCTTACACCAATTGGACCATATATTTCCTGTTTTTCCAGTAGCTTCCCTGATGTAGGTCATGTTGTGGTTGAACTGTAATATGTTTATAATTAACATTGGAGTAGCTGTATCATATCTGACTTCTGGCATGCTGGTTCATCTGATGTGAAAGCCTGATGGCTTAAGTGTTTGTTTGGTTGATATTGCTGTATTAGTTAGGTCTCCCGTTGATTGGAAAGGGGGGAAAACCAWTTGAAAAAGTAAGCATGGTAGATTTACTTCTGAAGGAAGTTTAAACTAAGAAATATTGGTAAGAGAACTAAGGATACCAGTTACATTGCCTAAACCTTTCAAGTTAAGAAGTGTGGTTACTAAATAATGTTTTCTTTGGTTAACTTTGGTCCTACATTCTTGTCAAGTAACTACATTCTTGTCAGTAGATTTGCCGGTGCATCTCTTTTGATGGGTTTTGATTGTTAYTGTTATCATTATTTGGTGATAAGAACAACTTCGTTGGTTATTAATGATTCAGTTTATCATTGCTACAGTTCAACAGGGAAAATGATGGCTCCCTTAAATCTCTCCCTGCCAGGCATGTTGACACTGGCATGGGATTTGAAAGACTGACTTCGGTACTTCAGAACAAGTTGAGTAATTATGACACTGATGTGTTCATGCCCATCTTTGATGCAATCCAAAAGGCAAGATCAGGATATTTCTTACTATATATTTTTACTTTTGTGATTTGCATAGGATATAATTTAGGATGGTGCTTTTAAAAAACATGTTTTTTTAAAATAAAAATCTATTTCATAGACTAATATGAAATTATAGAAAGACGGGAGGAAAGCCAGCCCCAAACCAAGGAAGTTACGAAAACGTTGTGAGGTATCTCCTCACAGTTCTTATTGGAATTCAAGCAAACAAGCCTTAAAGCTTACAGAAACACCCCACCAATTCGAGAGGGTGGGTAACTCTCCCTCTAATGCCCTAGCTACTCCGTAATCAAAAAGCCAGAATGAAAATATACTCCCACCCATCCCAGCCTTATAACTACTTGGCCCTCACTCCCACAATGATCCTTGGGCCCCACGCTCCCTAAACGGTTATTCCTTCCTACCTCCCCCTAGTGCAATTCCCTTCTTACCCTTCATACAAACGTCTTTAAAGTAGCAGTAGGAGAATTAAGAATATAAGAGTTAAAGAAGAAAAATTAAACGAATTTTTCTTATTGTTGGAGATTCAGTTCTTCCTTTCTCGCCAAACAAACAAAAAAGAAGTCCTCATAAATGAACCCTTTCCTTTTTTGGAAGGTGACCTTCTGTAAAAGTGGAAAGAAAGCTGTTCAGACTGTGATTCAATAGCTTCTTCTGCCTTGACCAAGGGAGATTACAGAAATGATCTCCAGATTGGATTAATAAATAATAATATTTTCCCCTATTCTCTTTTTATAATATACCAATGTTTTGAACAAATTACAATGTGCAATGGGAAAAATCTTAAACCAACAAAGTTGCAAAAGGCTATCCTATCCAGAACTATGTAAGAAGGGGAATACTTACAAGAGTGTTTGCGTACTGCGCTTCAAATAGAGACAACAAGAATAGTTAAATCTCAAATCATACTTACCATTTTACTCATTGTTTAAGGAAATTATTCTGTTCTTTTATAATCATGTTTGCTGGGGAAAAAAACTATAGTAGCATTTAGCCACAAAATATAGTTGTCTCATTGAAAGACGCACCATCTTTGGTTGAATTGCACGAGGAAGAAGAGTAATTAYCTAGATCTCTATATTAAGTCAAAGTATGAATTCCTCTTACGGTGTTTTCTGTTTTTCCTCAAATATTTGTAGGCAACTGGAGCTCAGCCTTATAGAGGAAAAGTTGGACCAGATGATGTGGACAATGTGGACATGGGATATAGGGTTGTTGCTGATCATATCAGAACTCTTTCATTTGCCATTGCTGATGGGTCTTGTCCAGGTGAGTACTATTTAAAACAGGAAATACCTGTCTAGAAAGCATGTTAAGCCCTTCTACTTGTAATTATTGGTTACGTCCTGTCCTCTCTCTTTGTTTGTTTGTTTTCTCCTTCTTATCTTTTCTCTCTTTGGAACTTCCATACGAATGTAAATCAGTGATCCTTGTATTGGTACTGGATTTTGATCTTTCTTCTTCGATATCATGAACAGGATGAGGATTGTTTAATAGCAAGTAATTATGCTTATCAGTTGCATCGTTGTTTGTTAACATTATGTGGGTTCTGTTATCATTGTTAAAAACTAATCTTTGGACTTGTTATGTTCATATTTTGTTGTGATTGGATTTGTCGTCCACCTTMATTCACTCTTTGCACATCATTTGATGCTCCATTAAATAGTTTCATGTCTCTTAAAAAATCCTTGATAGGTAACGAGGGACGTGAATATGTTTTGAGACGTATCCTTCGTCGAGCAGTTCGATATGGAAGTGAAGTTTTAAAAGCTCAAGAAGGATTTTTCAATGGGTAGGAGGACTTTTCTATTTTACTTGCCCGCACAACTCTTTCCTTGCTACATCTTCTGAGTGTCATAATATTACTTTAAATTGTATGTCTAAATATTTGTTTATATGATTGTTTTCCGCTAACAATTATGGTGATCCAGACTGGTGAGTGCTGTTGTGAAATTGATGGGTGATGTCTTCCCAGAGCTGAAACAACATGAGGTGCGAATTAGGGAGATAATTGCAGAAGAGGAAGCAAGTTTTGGGAAAACTTTGCTAAAGGTACTTCCTTCGTGAGGGTTTGAGAGTTTGATGGATGAATGTTAAGGTCTTAGCCTTGATCTTTTTGGTGTAAGCTAAAAGGCTAAGAACTAAAATCCCTTTGGTATCTCCAAAGACATGGTGTAGGATTGTATGTTGTATCTTCCCTGAATTGGTCAGGGATCGGSCAAATCTATGTCCATGGTTAAGAATGGAATAAACTTGATAAATTTGTGCACCCCATGGATACTGATCTGGGTGCATCTTATTTTGATTTGTTATTTCTCTATGGAGGCTTAGAATTTTTATTTGTTTAATATTACATGTCCTGTTCAACAAAACATAATAGATTACTTATTTGACTTCAGGGAATTTAGAGGTTTAAGAAGGCCTGTTTAACAAAACATAATAGATTACTTATTTGACTTCAGGGAATTGAGAGGTTTAAGAAGGCCGCTCAGGATGTACAAGGGAAGATATTGAGTGGGCAGGTTAGTATTTTTATTAATTGGAWTTTTCATAATCATACTCTTTGCGTGTACTTCTGTTTTATAAGTTGTGTAGGAGGTTTTCATTTAGACAAGAATTTATAGAATATTTTCATATCAAAGGTGTATCATCATTTGTCTCGAAGTGTCTTTGTTGAGGCTAAAACATTACAATTTGGGATCACAATTTTATAGCTCTAACGTACTCATTTGAAAGGTTCAAAACAGATATGCAATAAACTCCTGAAAGGAGTTTATTTTATTTTATTTATTTATCATTTTTTTAATAATACCTTTTTGTTGCTTTTATGGTTGTTTAGGTTGGGGTGTGGGGGGGGGATACAATTGTGAGATGTGTTTTAAAAGCTAGAATGAAATTGGAAGTTCAAAATTGCATTTTTTTTTTCCTAGTCTCTCTCTCTCTCTCTCTCTCTTTTCTTTTAAATAATTGAGAAACTAATTTGATTGAGAAGAAAAGAAAGAGACCAACCAAAAGAACAAGTCAAAGGGCATTGAAAAGTCGCCTAAACCCAAAGGAGTGAACCCATTAGGTATAGGGGTGTTCATGGGTTGTGTCGTGTTGGATTGGAATACTTTTTAGACCCAACTCAATTGTTCGGGTTATAAATATACAAAACGGGCCCTTATTAAATAATAAACCCAACTCAACCCAACYATAAAATATTTGGGTTGGATTGGTTCGGGTTATGCAGGTCACTTATTCGAAGTATTGTATAACAAAAAAAAGGAAACTTGTAAGATATTAAATCCTAGGTAGGTGGCCACCATGGTTTGAACCCATTCCCTTTAATTCCTTTGCTATTTACATTGGCACTCATTGACCACTGGGCCATCCCAGGATGGTTGTAAATTATAATATCTTAAACGTTTATTTCTACGTTGTCTAACATTGAATCAAAATCTGTAAGTTGATGCTTATTTATATAGTGAAAAGTACACCCGTCTRAGGCAAATCCCTTTCTCCAATTTACTTTTGTTTTTCTGCAGATGGTAAGGGTGTTCACAGGTTGGGTTGGGTTGGGTTAGGGGTATTTTTTGGACCAACCCGAATTTTCAGGTTGGTCAGTTCAGGGACCCGATGGAACCGAAGTAAACTTGCAACCCAACCCAACCCAACCCTTATATTTTCGGGTTGGGTTGGGTTGTCGGGTTGGTAAGAAATAAAGTTTTCTGCAGATGAGATGAGAAATCATAGGGTTTTCTAAGAATCTTTTTGCAAGAGTTGAGAGTGAGGAGAGAATTAAACCAACACGGAAAAGAAACATAAAAGAAAAGAGTTGAGAGTGAGGAGAGAATTAAACCAACACGGAAAAGAAACATAAAATTAGACACATCGACGGTGAAGTCGTCGTCGTAAAATGCCTATCGCCTACCTCACATACTCTCAAGAAATCGATTCAAAACTTTCAAGGCAATCTTAGCTCTTCTGAAGGACTTGAGAGGTGAGGGAGATATGAGGAGGTGAGGGTGATTGAGATACATAGGGAAAGGGGCAGAAAGCCAAAGAGATGAGAKATTGGAGGAAGAGGGGGAGAAAGGTGAGATAAAGGGGAAGATGAAATAGAGAGGAGGAGGAGGAGGAGGAGAGACCATCTTGACTCGTGAGGGAGAGAGAGGTGAGAGAAAGGGGGAGATGAGAAGGGAGACGGCAAGAGGAAAAGGGAAGAAGGCAAAAGGAGGAGGCAGCGGCTAACCCTAATAATAAATATATATATTTGATTTTTTTTTAATTTAATGTTAGGTTCGGTTCGGTTCGGGTTGAACTGACTGAAAAATTAACCAACCTGCTAACCAAATCAAAATTTCGGTTCTTAAAAAAAATTGAGCCAACCCAACCCAAATTTTCTTTAAACCCAACCCAACCCTTACRGTTTGGGTTGGTTTGCCCTGGTTGTTCGGGTCATCAGGTTTTTTGAACACCCCTAKCAGATGGTATGATGTTATGTAATTGTTGTTTGTTGTTTTAAAACCAGAGTTTTTAGCTTTTTTGAATCAAGTTATTGGACAACGTAGGGTGAAAAGTACACCCCAAAAATTTAAAAAAGTTTTTTCTTTTTAATTGAAAAACTTTAAAAAGTTGCTTTTAAAATTCGTYGTAGAAAAAAAATCCATAAAGGTTTATTGAATGAAATAAAATTAAAATAAATATGGTGAGCAAAATAAATAGTTTAAAAATTAATAATTAGTTCGTTCAACCCAAATTTATTTTAGGGGTAAACCTTTGAACTAACCCAACCCATAAAATTTTCATTTATTTGAACCCAACTCAACTCAAACAAGTTTTTAACCCAACCCAAACCTTATAAGGGTTGGGTTGATAAGTTTTTTGGGTCATCGGGTTTTTTAACACCTCCATCATTTGTTTTCCTTTTTCTGGGATAAAGAAACAATTTCATTGATGTATGAAATTACAAAAAAAACTGTTAGGCCTCAGCCTCAATTTTATTTATCGACAAGCCAAGGGAGTTTAGAGAGCTCCCTGCCTCGTTCTCATAGAGAATACAATCACAATTCAAAAAATAACTTTCATGACCCCCTTCCTCTCTCTACCCTTAGATATACCCTCTTTGT